TTATATGACATGGCACCCACTATTCATTGGTGGTTTTGATTTTTGTTTTGCTATTTTGCAAATTTTGAATAGATTGAGCGCGCTATTACCTTTCGAAACGTTTTAGATCGTATTTAACTGCCTCGTTAGTCCTGACGAGAGTTGGGCAGGCAGTCCGCTAGCCCCTTTGGTACGCCTTTGGGAAAAGTGGGGCTGTCACACACCGGACGTCCGATAGAATTGAAGAAGATTTTTCAAACTCACTGCCTGCTGTCGGATACAAGAAACTAGACTACCGGATTTCCGATACTCCAACGGCTAGTTGACTCTTCAGTTACTTTCTATCCGTTGGAAACATTAATGAAACACTTTCTTGGTCTCCTATAAATAGAACATGATCGGAAACTTCAAACAACTTTTGCACATTGAAGATACAAAAGATCTAAAGTAGTTTTAGTAAGAAAACACTCTCCAAAGAAGATTTGTAGTCTTGGTGGTGTGAAGTTCATTGTAAATTTTTCATTTGTGAGTGAATACTTCAATAGTGTAGTTCTGTGAGGGTTGTCCTGAGGGATAGTAAAACTTCCTTGCTTGATCGAGTGGAACTTGGGGTAAGGAGGAAGTGAACCTTTTTTTGTACACAAGATTGGTTGTACTTCATCAACTTGAAGAACCTTGTTTTATAAATTGATTTACAAGCTCAAGAGGAGTTTGGTAGTCAATTGGTTTGCAATTCTTCCCTTCTTATTTACTTATTGTTATTTTGTGATCTTTTAATTGTTTATCTCTTCTACTCCCAAGCAATCGTGCTTTCTTACTAATTGCTACATTGTGTGGTCACTTAGAAAAGAGGGTAAATTTTATTTTGAGCAAAAAGTACCCATAACTTGATTAGTTTTTTAATCAACCTAATTCACCCCCTCTTAGGTTGTATTCGATTCTAACAATTGGTATCAGAGTTTGGTCTACTTGAGATTAAACTCAATCAGTTTAGGAGTTAAAATGACAACTAATAATGCCATATTTTTTGAAGAATATTCTGTCATTAGACCACCTATGGTTAATTGGTCAAATTATGTGAGTTGAAAAGAAAGAATGATTTTTTTTTGTAATCTATTGATATTGAATTATAGTTTATTATTAGTGAAGATCCATATGATACCTCTCTTATGGATGAAAATACTCATAGATCTAAATAAAAAACAAGAAGTGAACTTACTGCTGTGGATAGAGCTCATCTCATCTTAAATACAAAAGCCATAAATGTGTTATATTGTGCTTTAGACTCAAATGAATCTAATAGAGTCAAAGGTTGCAAGTCAGCTAAAAATATTTAAGACAAACTGAGAGAAATTCATGAAGGTAGTGAGAATGTTAGAGAACAGAAAAAATCTATCCTGATTACTAAATATGAGTTGTTTAAGATGGAATCTCATGAAAATATTGATCAAATATATTGTAAATTCAATGATCTTATTAAAGATTTAGAGGTTCTGGGAAAAAAATATATCTTAGGTGAGAAATATAGAAAAATCTTGAATGCTTTGTCTAAAGATTGGGAAAGTAAAGTGAATGCTATTGAAGAGACAAGAGATCTGAATTCTATGTCTATTGAATCTCTTGTAAATTCTTTAACATCTTATGAGTTGAAACTTAAGATCAAAGTACAGGAAGAAGAAGATGCGAAGGTAAAATAGAGCATTGCTCTAAAAGTATCTCAAGATGAAGATGATTCTGTTTCATTGGATGGAGAAGATTTGGATGTTGATGATGATGCTCTAGCTCTCATCACAAGAAGTTTCAAAAGAATCCTAAACAAAAGGAGATTCAGAAGAGGAGGACCAAGCAATACATTTCCAAATCAGTTCAACAATGCAAGGAACAAAGGAAAACAAGAGGCCAATAAAAAGCAAGTGAAAAAATATTTTGAATACGGCCAACTTGGACACTATATGAGTGAGTGTCCAATGAAGAAGAAGAAAGAAGGAAGAAAATCAAGATTCAACAACTTCTAGTTCACATGGAATGAATGCAACTCCGATGATGAAATTGAAAAGGAAGAAGAATTTGCCCAATTGTCTTTCATGGCTATTGGAGATGATAAGGTAATAACTTGTAACTCTCAAATTGATAGTGATGATGAAACTGATGATGATCTTGAATCTTTCATTATAAAATTGCATGATAGTTTAAAAGAATCTTATACTAGAAACAAGGAATTAAAACATAAAATTAGATTTCTTTTTCAAGATAATGCACGTCTTTTTCAAGAAAACAAAAGGTTGAAAACTGAAAATGATTTCTTTAAAAAGAATGAGATTGATTTACAAAATAAGCTTAATAGAAAAAAAAGATTTTGTGAAATGTTCAAAAAGGAACAAGATGATTTGAAAAGTAGAATGGATAATTTAAATGAGTTGTTCCAACATAAAAAATAAGACTGTTTTCAAGGTAATAAATCAAAGACTCATCTTGACACTCATGAGAAGAAGTTGAATTCTGGTGCAAATGAATTTGCTATTTATAAAAGAAGACAAGTAAGATTAATTAAACATGTTCATGTAAATAATTCTTTGGTTATGTGTAATTTTTGCTGTCAAAAAGGTCACATGAAAAGTGATTGTTATGTGAGGAAGAACATGAGAAGAGGCATGAAATGTATATGGATAGTTAGACATGATACTAACTCTTAAGGACCCAACAATTAAAGGGTACAAAATATTAGTTATTGAACTCTTGAGTAGGTGAATCTGGTGAACATCATTAAGGAATCAAAATAGTTCGTAGACAATTTATACTCAAGACACATGACCGGTGATCCATCACATTTCATCAAATTCAAGTCAAAATCAAGTAGCAAAGTGACATTTGGAGATGATATAAAAGCAAAAAATTAAAGTAAGAGATGTTGGTAAAAATGATCTGATTTTTGTTCATAACATTCTTTTGTAATTTTTTTTAATGTTTCTGATATTTTGAACTGAGTTTCTTTTGATGTTTTTAATAATTAATGGATTTCGGTTGATATGAATGTGGGTATGAATGTTGGTTTCATTGATGTTCATTGTTATTTTTTGGTCTCTTTTGATGTGATTTTTCTATTATTGACTGATGATGGTTGCAGCTACTGTTCTTTTTATGGCAATTACTCTCTACTTTTATGATGACAAAAAGGGGGAGAAATTATAAAATGGATGTGGTTTGGGATGCTATGAGTAAGGGGAAGTTTCTCCTCATTTTCATTCCTTCCATCCATTGTTTTGTCATCATAAAAAAGGGAGAGAATGTTGATCTTGATCCCTATCTTTTGATGTTTACAAAATAATTGATAATACTAATATCTCTTCAAGAAATATTTTCAGTTATGAAGCAAATCAGATTCAAAGATCAAGTGCAAATGAAAGGGACAAAGGCTGTTGAAAGCTGTCGGACGCTTGGATCGGACGTCCGATAATCATTGCGCAACTTTGGATGTATGAAAAATTTCACCACCGGACGTCCGAAGGAAATAAGACATTCCCCCTGACTCACTGACCTCGATCGGACGCAAGCATTGGACGTCCAATAGGATCGTTCAAACTCGACGAAAGCTGTCGAACGCTCACAAAGACAATACCGGACGTCCGATAGAATTGAGATATTCCTTCCAACTCATTGTCTGCTTTCGGACGCAACCACCGGACGTCCGATAGAATTGAAGAAGATTTTTCAAACTCATTGCCTACTGTCGGATGCAAGAAACCAGACTACCGGATGTCTGATACTTCAACGGCTAGTTGATTTTTCAGCTACTTTCTATCCGTTGGAAGCATTAATGAAACACTTTCTTGGTCTCCTATAAATAGAGCATGGTTAGAAACTTCAACAACTTTTGCACATTGAAGATACAAAAGATCTAGAGTAGTTTTAGTGAGTAAACACTCTCCAAATAAGATTTGTTATCTTGGTGGTGTGAAGTTCATTGTAAACTTTTTATTTGTGAGTGAATACTTCAATAGTGTAGTTCTGTGAGGGTTGTCCTGAGAGATAGTAAAATTTTCTTGCTTGACCGAGTGAAACTTGGGGTAAGGAGGAAGTGAACATTCCTTTGTACACAAGATTGGTTGTACTTCATCAACTTGAAGAATCTTGTTCTGTAAATTGATCTACAAGCTCAAGAAGAGTTTGGTAGTCTATTGGTTTACAATTCTTCCCTTCTTATTTACTTATTGTTATATTGTGATATTTTAATTGCTTATCTCTTCTACTCCCAAGCAATCGTGCTTTCTTACTAATTGCTACATTGTGTGGTCACTTAGAAAAGAGGGTAAATTTCATTTTGAGTAAAAAGTGCCAATAACTTGATTAGTTTTTTAATCAACCTAATTCACCCCCTTTTAGGTTATCTTCAATCCTAACAATTATCACCAAAATTGCCAAATTCTTCACATATTCAAAATTCATCATCCAATCATACTCTATATGAAGATTAAGTAATCAAATTGTCTAAAATGTTACCGTATAATGAATGTGTGCATGTAAGTATCATAAATAAGTCACATTTTGGCAGTTTGAACCATCCAATACGCTTAACAATATTCCAAGAGCAATTACTACATTTAATCATAAAATAAGAATATGCAAAAATTGAAACATTACATAGACCATCACATTCCCACATTTGATGATCTAAACATGCTTAGAGATGTTACATAAGTATAATAAAACTTAGGGCAAAAAACCTCAACTGCCATTAAACTATTGACGGGATCATGTTTTGGCCATCGAACTATTTTTTGTCAATAATTGGCCATTAAATAATTTAATCCGTTAACCCATGACCATTTCGTCATTAATTGCTCTTAAGTTCTGAGATTAGCATTACACGTGGCAATGTCCGGGGGCAATTTTGTCCAGCAATTTACTGAAAAACAACAGGCTGCAATCCAATGAATAGGGAACAAGGAAAAAAGAAGCTTTTTGTCAAGGCAACAGATATCTCAAATCAGATGGTTGCCTAATGCTTTGCACTAGCAACTCCTGCAAATCAGAATACTATACACCGTAATTATCTATATACTAGTTCTGGTATTGCTCACTGTGAAGTTCATTAAGCCATCTGCCAATGCTATCAAATGTCTGTCGCCTACTGATGTCATACACAAGAAGAGCTCCCACTGCACCTCTATAATATGCAGATGTAACAGCCCTAAATCGCTCCTGACCAACTGTATCCCATATCTGAGCTTTGACTTCCTTCCCATTAATTTCAACCTTCTGTGTCTGGAATTCTACTCCTATTGCTGATTTTGAGTTTGGATAAAATTCATCTCTGGCAAATCTAGCAAGCAAGTTTGATATTCCAACAGCTGAATCACCAACTAAGACAATCTTGAAAAGGTAATCCTCGGTTTGTTCCTCCGCAGAATAGAAAGCCATCTTAAGCCTTGCGTTGCTAGGCGGGAGCGGAGTTTGGGGGACTTCTCCTCCGGCTGCAGCAACCGGCAGTTGTGAGGACTCGCACATTTATTCTTAATTTCACCTATTTTAAAATTATTTGTATTGGCATGTCTTTTAATTTTAACACTTTAGCATGAATTTTACGTGTCAAAAATTTTTCAAAAAGTCGCACTGGCACGATTAATTGGGGATTGGGAGATTTAACCTCGAACTAGTAAGAATGAGTATTAGTGGTGTAAAAGAAACTACCTTAGAAGATTAGTATTTGAGAGTAGGAAACAAGAAGGAAACTAGTAGTGCATGACACTATTCGATCACTATTTCTAGTTGACCTTTTTAACCACCAAAAGCAAGCTTCTTCTCAACTTCACATCATAATTCAAAGCTTCATCTTCTCTCATTTTTCTTTCTCATTGGCCGAACTCTTGAGCTCCAAAAGAGGAGAAGAAAAACTCAAACTTCAACCACAAATCTTGCTCTAAGAATTCCTCCAACACCTTCAAACCTTTGGGAGTTGATCTAGTTAGAGGAAAGCTCCTACTTTGTGGTGATTTTTTGGTGGATTGGTGGTGTAAAGCTTGGCTCTAACTAGGGTTGAAGAAGTTTGGGTAAGGTAACTAGCTTCACTTCAGTTAATCTTTAGTTTCATGCAAGATTTAGTAGTAACTTTGGGTTGTTATGAAAGGGTATTTGAAACCCTAAACAAAGCTAGGATAGATGACTTGAGGATACTCTTGTTTTCTTAATTTAGTCTTAGGTAGATGTCTTGAGGAGGATTATTAGGTAGTGGACTTGAGAATTTCTTGTTTGTTTGGTTGTTGTTTTAGTGATTTATAGCTTGATTTTGGCTTGAAAGTTGGAGAGAAGAACTTGAAGAGAAAGAGAGCCATGCTGTCCGAATTTTTGCTGATTTATTTTCGAATTTTGTTGTTAAATTGATGGAAAAATGCTTGTTATATGTTGGGTTGTGTGTATGGAAATTATCTCTCAAAAATCATTTCATTTGATTGGGTAAAAGTCAAGTTTAGAGAAGAGAAACAAATCTGAAAAATTTTGCCCAGGACAGCCAACTAGAGTATATTCAACTGCATATAATTTTTTGTACAAGAGTCGAAATCAAGTTCTGTTTGTGGCATATGAAACTAGACTCTGAGAGATTTCTAACAGTATAAAATACACCTACTAATTAGTTTTCTATGAGCTGTAGTGAACCGGCAAAGTTGACTGATTTTCTCCTACTGTTTTACCCGTGAGACCTGCACAACTGAAGATTGTAGCTCATTTTTGTTCCCCTTGTGAAATGAATTTGAAGACAGTTTCTTCTAGTGATTTCTAGAATTTTGAGTCTAGTTTCCAACGCCATAAAACATGCTAATTTTTTATTTGTGTAGCCTTAGTTATGACTTGATTTACAAACTGTGTCAAGTGTTCCAAAGCTGGAAATTCGTGAACCAGGTTTCAAAAACCAGCTTTCATAAAACTATTGTATCTTGGTGTAGAAAGATCAGAATTGAGTTCTACTTGTTTTGTTTGAAAATAAAATTAGAATTCTTTCAGTGGTATAAATTTCAAGGGCATGTTCGATTCCTATGAATTAACCAAAATTTCAAAGTTCATTGAAATTCAAGATTGTTTTGCTCTGTTCTTACTGAAACAGTGATATTGAGCTAAGATTTGACTGAGTTCGGATATGAATCTGGAAAAAGTGTCTTCTAATTCATTGAGTCTATTTTTCAACGGTATAAGATTTGCAAATTTTGGACTTATGAAACTCAAGTTATGATTTTTCAAAGAAGGTTGCCAAAACTGAATTTTTCCCTGTAAAATGACAAAACTCCAAAGTGACTTTGGAAACATTTTCTAGGTTTCAAGTCTAACTTTCTTGATTGTTTGCACCTTATTTCATACTTTGGAAAATGGATTTCAACCCCTAGTCTAATACCCATGGTTTCCATGAAATTAAACCATAAAATGAAGCGTTTTAGCTAGAATAATTCTTGAGGAATTTCACTAGTTTTATATTCAAAATTTGAAACTTTTAACTTCCATATTTACTATGAAAATAACCAGGTTTTGATGTATTTTGACTCCATAAGATTAGAAAACATGAACGTTCCTTTATATTCTAAAACTTGGGTATAGGATTAGAAGTTTTAAGATATGAAAATTATCTTTCTTTTTCTCAATTTTTGTGTCAAAAATTAAGTAGGGTACTTTCTTCTTGAAATCAAGATTTCTTGCCACGACTTAAATAAAAAATGACTTTTGAGTTCTCCTTGAGTGTTATTTCAATACTTAAGTGAAAAAGTCTCTTTTAACTCGATTTGAGCTTGTGGCTGTGAATGTGGATAGCAAGAGGATATTTTTCTCATTAGCCTTGATCGAATACCTAGGTAATCATGATTGTACATGTCTCAAGTGAGCATGTGGACACCGAGGAGTTTGTTTGACCTCTTGCTTTTGCTCCCGTTTTGCTCTTGATTTTTGGTGAGTGTCAAGTGCATGTTTCATGTACTATGATTGAAATGATATGTATACAAGTGTTATATGAAATTGTCGTGATTTATGAACTTGCCGAGACAAGGGTGTACTTTATCACCCTTGTCCTCTCTCTCTTGAATACTTGTTACTTGAAATATGAAATTGCGTGACTTGAACATGTATTTGAACATGCTTGTAATCGTGAGTACTGAGCGGCAGCATGCACCACACCCTATTCGGGTGGGAGGTGCCTCTCATCCCGACTCAGTACTATGACTGATTTTAAGTCGATTGGATTATTGTCTCATCGACCACTTATACTCGTGAGGACGCCCAAAACCTAATGGCTAGCCATTCAACTCAAGCTAGCAAAAGCTTGTTTGAGGACTTTAGTGAACCTTGAACTCATATACTTGACTTGCGTGGATATACTCGTGTAATATCGAAAACTTGTTTGACGTTCAGGCCCGATAGAGGGTGTAACGGTGGACGAAAATTGGTGAAAAGTGGAGTTCTACGGACTTGTTACTTGCTCGGTTGACGGAGCGTCAACACTTGAAAATTGTGGATCAAGATTATCAGTGAAGCAGTATGGATATAGCTCCTAAGAGTTCCTGTATTCTTTTACGTGTGTTTTACTTCCTATTTGTGTATTTAAATGAAATTTCATGTTAAGTCATTTTAAGTGTGATATTTAATTTAATTTGTACTACTTGCTTGCTTGCTTGATTTTCTTGGCCTCACTGAGCGTTAGCTCATCCCTTTAAGTTTGTTTTCCTTAACAGGACATGGAGGTGGAAATTGGTGATTCTAGACTAACGGATTTTGGTGGAAGTTAGTATATCTTTTGTTTGAAATTGGAGACTTTTGAAGTGTAAATTTTGTTATACTTAGGTACTTTGAATTGTAATGGTAAATGGTAGCCTTGGGAGTTTTGGACTTGTATATTCGAAGTATTTCTTAATTATAAGTCGATGATTGACTTGTGGTTCTTTGAAACTAGAATGAGTGCATGAGTTCTGACGAGAGTTGGGTAGGCGTCCCACTGATACCCTAGGGTTCGTCCTAAGGAGAGATGGGGGCGTCACAACAGTCCTCTGGTTGAACGGCAAGTCCTAGTGGAAGGGTGTGAAGTAGTTTCGGATTCATCTTCTTGGACCGTCACAGTGGCCTTCCGACGGGTGGTGGAGGTTCCTCTGGCAGCGGTGCGAGGAACGCTGAGGGATGCGACTTGGGGTTTGGCTGGCGACTCGGTGGAAGATGCTGAAGGTCCAGTAACTCCTCTATTGTTCTGAAATTAGCCATATTGGACTTTTAGGGTCAGTAAATTGCTAGACAAAATTGCCCTCGGACATTGCCATGTGTAATGCTAATTTCAGAATTTAAGAGCAATTAACGACGAAATGGTTACGGGTTAACGGATTAAATTTTTTAGTGGCCAATTATTGATAAAAAAATAGTTTGATGGCTAAAAGATGATCCCGCCAATAGTTTAATGGCCGCTGAGGTTTTTTGCCCTAAAACGTATATACATCAACAAATAACATCACAAATTCACTATTCAAAGTGTATCAATAACTTCAAAAGATATACAAATGATGAATGTAAAATACCAAGTTAAGTTCAAGAAATTTACCTCACATTGTTAGAATGATGTTTGGTGATGCAAATAATGCAAAAAATCCTATGAAAATCACCTCAATTGGCCTCCAATTGATGGAATTAGAAAATGTGAACCCTAGCCTACAACCTATTTTTGAAATATTTTATGTGAATTCTAATCAGTTATAAAGGCTCTATGAAGGTCAAATAATATTTGTTAGATGATTTTTTGCAAGGAAATGGTGTATAAGAGAAAATTGGTGAAATGTATGAGTGTGTGAGGAAATACATAAGGTGAAATAGAAGAAGAGAAGAAAATGTAGCCTACGTTTTGTCTTTTAAAAGAGGAACCCTAAAAATGCGACTTGAAAACACGAGCTTGAGGTGGTGTTCTGAAACTCACGTTTTCAGTTGAAAATTGCAGGGTCAAATACGCGGCTCATGAAAATGCGACTTGGGGTCACATTTTTGTAACCGCATTTTTTGTTGAAAATTTACATAATGCAAAACGCGACATGAAGTTGCGTTTTGATAATTGCAGAAATTTCTAACTTTCCAAAAATTATACTTTTACCTCAATTGAGCAAAATGCATCCTAGATCATTCTTTTGTCAAAATAATCAATACGCATACATGTAAAATGATCAAAATATGCATTTTACCCCTTTTTTCATGAATAAAAAATAGCATTTGTTCAAATCGAGGGGCGAGGTTCCTTGATCAAATTTTGCCTTTTTTCACCTCAAATGGTTACCTTTGTTTCTATTTTCCAAACCTACAAAAAAAAGTAATAAGATAATTCAAACACATAATTTAAATATAAAATCATATAAAATTAACATAAATGACAAAAACATTGGATTGCCTTCCAACAAGTGCTTTTGTTTGTAGTCGTT